TGACGGGATATAGTATTAAAATAAATTCATAATAATGAATGAAACTTGTGACAAAACATAGAAAAGAGACTTGTCGATAAATTACAGTACATCAAAATCATGAGATAAACCGACGCAAACAAGTAGAACAAAAACGTCGGAAAACGAACCCTAATTCGCGAAATGGAATCGTCCAACATTTTTGATCAGTATCTTGAACCACTCTTCGGCAACGCGAAAAGATTATAATCCCCAACCACGCGTTCTAGACGGGTATGGAGTGCGATATCGCTCAGTATTCGGTTAGTGAACTGCAGTTCAATTAGAAATTTACTGCAGCGAGTTTTCTGTCCTCTGATTGGTCAAAATGTGCATGGAGGGCGCTAAACTCGCAGCGGAAACTTAAACTCACTGCAGTAAATTTTTTTCTGCTCTGTGATTGGTTGGAATTTATTGCCAAGAATCTTGCTGCAGAAAGAAACAACCCAAACGCTTTACTACGATGTATCTGATTCGTCGATGAATTAGATACTATATCACCACGCATTAAGAGTATTTTAACGTATAAATGTATCACACTTGCATTTTACACCCCAAGATTCAAGTTGGCATTTATTGTCATATACGAGCATTACTTGTTCGCCCATCAGGCGAAGGCCTATATTATTGTTACTACTGGTGTATATATATAATAAAATTCATCATATAGTCAGGCGACCGATCCCTGTCCTATGTATTTTCCAGATAAATAATACCATAAATTATACACTGCTCGGATATGTGTATCAATGAAAAACAACCTATTTTTCCCTCACGTTTTCGATAATTTGAATTCAAATCCTATAGCTTTTCGTAAATATATAAAATCTTTATACGAAAATGTTGTTAACTTGACAGAATTTCGGCAGATATTTTGAAAAAAAAAAAGTTTGGCCGAATTTCGCCGTATGATGGCGTTTGTTTAGCCGTGAAGGTTCTTGAGTATCTGGCAAACTTGATATTTGAATGTAGGTCGTCACCTTTTGAGGTTAATTTCTTTGCTGATGCATTCAGTATTTATCCTCGTGCGTTGTGTAGATAGATATTGGTTTCATGATAGCGAAAGCAAGTTGCAAAATTTATACCGGTATGTGGCAAATACAAGCCAAACCAGTCACTCGTCGCAAATCCTGTTTTGAAGATAATGGCCAAAACATGCTGGAATTTCGAAATTTTGGAAATCTATTTTAATGCACTAAACTAACCTTTATATATCTATACATCATGCTATGCTGTTATTTTCCTCATTTTCAATGTTGAAACCGTAAACTTTGAAGGCTGATTTCTCAAATATTGTTCTTTAAACAGCTGTATGTTTAAACTCGTGTAACTTCATAACGAAGTGTCAGATTTAAATGATTCTTTTACCATTTTATAGCTCTCATTTTACTGTTAAACCCTGAATTAATAACTAAAAATTGATTTTCCCGATTTTTTAACGATTCCAATTTTTAGTTATTAATACAGAGTTTAACAGTAAAATAAGAGCTATAAAATGGTAAAAGAATCATTTAAATCCGACACTTCGTTATGAAGTTACACGAGTTTAAACATACAGCTGTTTAAAGAACAATATTTGAGAAATCAGCCTTCAAAGTTTACGATTTCAGGCATTTCTTTCACCAAATAGTTAAAAATTGGTGTTTTATCTCTAAAACAGGATTTGCGACGAGTGACTGGTTTGGCTTATCTTTGCCACATATTGTCGAAAAATTCGAAGAAAGGATGATAAGGCGTTCAGAAAAAAATTCAGAAATACCTGAAACGTGCTCTAACTTAGTCAAAACACGATTTTGAGCAAATTTAATTTTTAGCACACGCGTACGCGCGTTTCATTAGCCTGTCAGTTGGTAATGTCACACAAATTTTCCCATCATATAACCTATCACTAATTTTTTTCGTTTTTCGTATTGAATGCAGTTTACTTCAATAAATTGGCCTTAGTGATAGATTCTTAATAATTAGTGCTATGGTATATGAGGAATCCACCATGTTGAGATCATATTTTACCTTGTAAAATAAAATTATTTCAAGGACATATTCAGTAGTGTCACTGTCTTCGGACACCCATGATTCTTGTAATAAAATACAACAGAGATAACAACCTTGATCTATAAAGCATTTCATCATAATTAGGATTATGCAGAAAAAGTCAAATTTTTAGGCTAATAATCACTCTTATCTACACCAATGGTGAAACATAGGCTAAAAGGCAATACTGTCTGACAACGGAGAACGTACAGCGTCAAAATTGAGATTTTCTTTTTCACGAAGAGAAACAAACTTCGTTATAGTTTTAAACAATCTAAACTGGGTTTATATTTAAAATATAAATAATAAAATAATAAATGAAATAATATATTTTTATAGTATATATATATATATATATATATATATATATATATTAATGCAAATAAATATAGAGTTGCTGCATAGACAGATTTGTATATATAAAATAAGAAGTCAAACAAAGTTCTGTATCTGTCTCAAAATAAAATATTGTTTGTACAGTACTTTCGACCATAGGTCATCATCAGGTACTGATAGGATATTGGGATGAAAATGGTTATTATAGAGAACATCTACAAAAGAAGCGGTGGTTTCGGTAAAGCCTAAACGGCGGTACTGACGACATAACGAAGCAATGAACATAGTAAGACAATACAAACGGCTACGCCTAGAAGGCGTGTATTAACATAGGTCTAACAAAAGAAAACAAATCAAAGGCATAATAAATGTCATAGTAGTATGGTCACAGTATGCATCATAGGAAGATAAATAAAATAACAAATAAATCTCTAAAAGATTTAAATGAGACGTTCGTGTGTGTGTGGGTGTGTGTGTGTGTGTGTGTGTGTGTGTGTGTGGCAAAGACAAGCCAAACCAGTCAATCGTTGCAAAAATCGATTTTGTGTTATTAATACAGTGTTAGAGAGTAAAATAATAGCTATAAAATGGTAAAAACAATCATTCAAATCGGACATTTCCTTATGAAGTTACAAGCGTTTAACCACACAGCTGTTTAAAGAACAATATATGAGAAATCAGCCTTTAAAGTTTATGATTTCAGTCATTTCTCATGCAGAAACTATCTTTAAATCCTTAAAAAGTGTTGTTGTTGGTGAATGGTGCTGCTCTTGAATTATGTAAAAGTTATCTAACTAAGAGATGTCAATATGTTGAGTTTAAGGGTACACGATCCGAAATGACAACTATTGATACTGGAGTACTTTTCTATTTATTGTATATATTAATTATTTTTCCTTTGCTAGTCAACTAAAAGCAAGTCAAAAAGAAATTATCTATGTTGATAATACTACTCTCTTAATGATACTGAAAACAGGTATCTGACAAATGACATTATCATTTTAAAGCTTAGTAAGGTGTTACAGTGGTTAAAATTAAATAAATTATCTCTCAATATAAAGAAAAGCTAAATGCCAAGTTTTTTTATCAACCACAAAAAAAAAGATAGAACTCCCGAAATTAATAATTGAAGGTACAGAAATTGAAACTGTTGGTGATTTAACTTCCTTTGTATTATAATCAATAAGCATTTAAAATGGGCCAGTCATATCAATAGTATTGGAAACAAGATATCTAAATCAGTAGGTATTTTAAACAAACATAAACGTTTTCTTTCACCAAATATTCCTAAAACAATTTATTCATCACTTGTTTTGTCTCAAATAAATTACGAAATTTTATTCTGGGGTCACCATACTGCCAGGTTACAGAAAATGCTGTTCGAATTATTACCAATAGTAAATTCAATGCTGAAACTGATCTATTATTTAAAAAAACTCAACCTATTGAAAGTTAATAATATTCACAAACTTCAAACCTTAAAGTTCTATCATAAATTTAAAAATAATCAGTTACCAATTTATTTTAAAAGTATGACACCTGTGCCTTTTTCTGAAATACCAAGCTTCTACACTCTAGGTAGAGATAATACCAAATACCGAAAGTTAATCATGTTTTTGCAACACTGCCTATTAGATATGATGTCTCAAGACTCATTGAAACTACTCCAATTTGTATTATTTCTAAGGTTGCAACTCATAGTCTTTCTGGTTTTGCTAATTATATTAAAATATTATTGATTAGAGAATACAATAAATATTGTTATATTGCTAACTGTTATGTATGTAATGATAATTAGTAATGGTAATAATAATTAAAGTATATTCTATTTTATTATTATTATTATTATTATTTAATAATTTTCTATTATACTGGACATGCATTTTATAATCTATAATGACATTTAAAATAGTATAAGTAGGCCTAATCAATACATTTATTTATCTATGTGGTGGCACTCATGGTAGCGGCTTATTTTAGCTTTAATGAGTCTCCCAACCATTAATTCGTCATAAATTAATTTATTTATGTCAAGAATATTTGTTATAATTTTTGGTCAACTATGCTTTACTAATTATTCCACACTTTATTCCAATTTATATTCCAAGAAGAGTGTCGCTATGCCTGCAGAAATTTAGGAAATATACTATGTAATTTATGTTTTAGCCCTACACTAGTCCGACTTCATCTAACCGACCTCATGCGCGTTTTCCCATAACTGCTTGAAGTTTGTCTGCTCGTTAATACGAAAAATCACCTTTTCTCGGTTTGTGCACTATGGCCAGTCAGTGTAATTAATGTAATGGAATGTAGTGGGACCTAATATAGCGCATTAAACCGAAGCCTCAATGGGTTTTTGAAAAAAGATAAAAATACTAAAAATCAAACTGTTCTTACCAAAAAACTGTTTTAATGCTGAGAGCAGGCTAAGCAAAAAACCAAACATCACTGCATAATTTACTATATAATGTAGTTGCCTTATAAATATCCTCTATTATTATTATTATTATTATTATTATTATTATTATTATTATTATTATTATTATTTTAGTAAAGAGAAGCAATGCACAGAGCCTTGATTAATGCTGTGTTTATATTTCTTTTTCATTTTTTAGATACATGGACTACAATAATCTGACTAAATTACCAAAGTTTCCGAAACAGATACAACAAATGTATGTATTTACCTTTCAATTAAATTTGAGCATGTATTATAACCTCAAAATGAAAATAATATCATTAAAAAAATATGAAGTTAATTTGTTCATTTTGCAGTAACATGCAAATTATTAATTTTAGCAAAAGAGGAGACAATGCACCAGTTCGTGCTTCTCATGTATACATGTTAGGCCTACATGTAGTAGGCTACTCTCGCAATACATACAATTTCTATTTTAAGCTTAACTTCTTTTCAAATGTCATCCAAGAGCGTTTAGCCGTCTACTAATTCCAAAAAAATAATCTCAAATGGAAGGGGATTCCTCTCCCAAAACCCATGATCAAGGGGACAGGGGGACACGTCCCCTAATATTGTTAAGGGGATGGGGTTGGTCCCTCACTTTTCATCCGCACAGTAATAATTTCATAAGTCAAGATGATGCCTGAAAATTGTTGAAATAAACTGCATAAATGACCCAGGTTTTAACGAAAGTGTACTGTACAACAGGTACTCTATTTCTTCCCACAAACATCTGAATTACCTATAATATACGGCTCGAGTGCGGTGCATTTATTATAATTTAAGAAGTATAAGAAAAAGCGTGTAATTATAATAATAATAATAATAATAATAATAATAATAATAATAATAATAATTATAATTATAATTATAATAATAATAATAATAATATAAAAATAATAATAATAATAATAATAATAATAATAATAATAATAATAATAATAATAATAATAATAATAATAATAATAATAAGATTGGTCTTCGGCACATGAAGTGGTAAAGTAAATTAAAAATACATAAATTAAAAAGTGTACTGTACAACAGGTACTCTATTTCTTCCCACAAACATCTGAATTACCTATAATATACGGCTCGAGTGCGGTGCATTTATTATAATTTAAGAAGTATAAGAAAAAGCGTGTAATTATAATAATAATAATAATAATAATAATAATAATAATAAATAATAATAATAATAATAATAATAATAATAATAATAATAATAATAATAAGATTGGTCTTCGGCACATGAAGTGGTAAAGTAAATTAAAAATACATCATAGACAATTGAGTTTTATTTTCAATGGAACATCACTACGATTAAGTTGATCGATGATGATGAATTTTATTATATAAGAGTTCCATTTCCGGCAATCTAGAGGTACTATTTCCCAAAATGTTTCCACCTCAGCCCTTAACTATGGTGTGGACTAATGGCTTTGAAGTAGGTAGGCCTAAATTAAATACATCAAAGACAATGTTTTTAATATTTATTTTCTATAGTACATTACACATAATAATTAGAAATAATGGTTGCCGAATATCGCTTCATTTTGACCATATGGTGATGTAATGATGAATTTTACTATATAAAAGTGTCATTTCCGGTCATGTAGATGTAATATGTCCTAAAGTCTTCGCTCCTCAGGCCCAACCATGGTTGGCCTGAGTGAAGTGGGTATGGGCTCCAAAAATGCCCTCACCTTTCGAAACACATCTGCGTCCCTGGCAAAACCACGCCCACTCCCTCCCAAACTTGATGCTTCGCAAATCGCATTATCCACCCC